GATCCGAGTAGCTCTGCTGTGAATCTCACTATGTAGGCTTCTGCTTGTTTAGGATTTGGTTTAAAAAAAGATATCCATGACTCAAAAAAAAAAAAAAAAAAGGTTTTTACCTATAGATTTGGAAACATAACTCTGATTGTTAAGGAGATGTGTGAGAAATACAGGGATACTTCAAGCAGATGCAATAATCCAGCCAAGATATGATGAAATTATTAGAGAAATCAGCACAAGTAGAAATGTGGGAACCTCAAAAAATATCCCAGAGTAATAATAAAGCAGAAACTGGCTCATTCTAACTGTGAAAATGAGGGCTGAGTGGATATATAGTGATGACTTCAAGGTCGATGTTCAGGGGTATGGGAAGAAAACGGTATCATTCACTGAGAAAAACATCATATGCTAAAAGGAAGATAAGCAATTGGACCTGTCTAATTTTATATAATCTGATTTTAGCTCTATGTCTTGCAACTGGATAAAAATATATGGTTGGATGTCTCAGGAGACAGCCATGGCCTGAGACTATTAGCTATTCAACTGTAGAAAAATAGAGATAATCCTCCAGTGTAAGCCCCCAAAGAAAAATTATTAACAAAAGAGGAATATTAAGATTTAATATTATCTAGGTATTTCATTTATCCTAGTAACCATTCTAGTTTTATATGCATCATTTTATTTGAATTGCATAAGAATCCTATGAGTAAAGAATATCACTGCTGTGGAGTAGAATAATGTAGCAATTAATATCTAGAGCTGAAATACCTATATTCATATCTTGGCTCAGCTGTTCACTGTTTTATATCATTTGGGTCAAATTATTTAACCTCTCTGTATCTCAAGTTCCTGATAATAATCCCTATGGCTATGATAAGAAGTGAATTAATGCATATAAAGTGTTCATAATGGTGCCTGGCACACAGCAAGTATTCAATAAATATGAGCAATTACTTTTCACCTCACTTTGCAGATCATGAAATGAAAACTAAGTAATAGAGACATTAAATATCTACTAAAGGACACCCCTCTAAATAAATGGCCAGTGTTGTCAGTGCACAAGCCCTCACTCAGCCTTTATGTTAGCCTCATCCATGTGGATGAGAGAAAAAAATGGTCAGGGATGGAAACTTGAAAGATGCCTAGTTAAGCAGACTAGTTTATAAGACTGCATGATGAAAAAATAATGCAACTAAACTACTGCAAGAAAGGAGGAAGGAGTGGTCAATAATTTCAAAAACATTTAAAAGTTTTTGTTTTTTTTTAAGTAATAGGAAGAGGCTGCTAGATTCAGCAATCAGAAATGTTCAGGGTCCATTGAAGGCATGCTTTAAGCAGACCGTGTAGGGCAAACACCAAACACAAACATTTAAGAATGGCTGCCCAGGAGGGAACTGAGAACAGTAACTGTACAGGTATAAATGGAGAAAGAATGGCAAACCAACGAGAAAACTAAAGGCAATTTTTCATAGAAGGGGGAAATTTTAGCCATCTTTTTTATGTAGAGATAGCAACCATTGATGAGAGAGAGTCTGAAGCTCTTAGGAAGGGGCTGATCAATGAACCAAGACCGAGGAGGATGTAGGAGTCCATGGGAGAGAGACCACAGTGGTACCTGTTAGCCTTCAAGGAAGGAAAAAAAGACTCAGTTTACTTCAAGTCAAGAGACTCCATTTGTGTGAAGAATGCTTGAAAGTACACAGAAAAGGGCTCTCTTGGGACCTGGAAGAAGAGTGAAAATTTACACACAGGGGTAAGAGAGAGTTTGGCAGAATGACGATGCAGGCCCTGCCGATGTCAGAGCAAAGCAAGTGGTTAAGCAACTCGAACAAGGAAATGGACGATGTATAAATCTCCCATCCACAGAATAAGCTAAGGGGAGTCAAGTGATACAAACAGCCCTCACCCATGGAAATGGTGCTTTGGGTTTTCACGTATTCCAGGGAGCTCAAGCGCATTTGCATAAGGGACAGCCCGAGAATGTGGGCAAGTGGGTACACAAGGCAGGTCCCAGGAGGGCTTGTGGAGGTCACAGGTATCACCGCATCACTTCCAGACATTCCATTAAAGTCACATCTACAGAACTGAGATCCAAATTCTGACTCTACCACTAACAACTTCACTGACTAACCTGGTGAAAATGTGTTTCCTCCCTTTGGGTTTCAATATCCTTACCAATAAAACGAGACTAACCTAGAAACCCTCTAATGGCCACTTCACTGTAAGACTGCATGATTCTATGTTATAAATGGTAACATACACTGTCTTCTTTCTCCATTTCCCATGCCTATAGGAATCTGCTCCTAAGCTGACATTAAAAGGATGTATTAGTTAGAGCTCTCAGGATTCAGGCAAGCCTCGCTGACCCAAGGCAGGTGTGCAGCAAGGCTTCAAAAAGAGCTGCTTCAATCTTATCTCTCTCTGCAGCTTTCTCTGTTATTTCATCTCCATGGAGAGAGATGAATTCACTGTGGTTCCAGAGGTTTATGTGATCGTATCGGAGGATGCTGTAGAATCTTTGTGTCCCTGTTCCAACAGGCTCAGATGGGTTTATCAGTCTCTTCCAATTCAGTTCACTCCAAACAATTTCATTATATAGGTGCATATACTTCTGGAGGCTCACATCATGCTTCAGGGAAAGTAGTCCCAAGCTGTGCAAAAAAACCCACAATGTTTGGTGGAAACATTGTAAGTGTTTCTACCAAATGGTCACCAACACAAGCAATGTCAGAGGTGGCGGTACATTCTTGACTGTCTATTCTCAGTGCCTCCTCTGCTAATTTAATCTTGAAAACAGAAAATTGTTTTGTTGTGATAGAAAATAAGACATACTAAAGAGCTACACAAACTCTCTGACAGCTTCCCTATTTTCCTATAAGGTAGAGGGGCACACTCTTTCAATCACCTGTGATCTTCCATTCTTCCATTACCCCTTTCAAGGCATGTAGGTGAGGTATGTGACTGAGAGGCCTTGCACCTTTTAGTAAATATATTGCTGGGCAAATCTGGGCTTCTTACTACCCAAGGAGTCACACTTTGAGATGATACTCAAGAGGCAGAATGATGAACCATTTTTGAAATTGAATGAATTGTCATTATAGGATGATGTGGAGCCCAGATTACCTGGTTCATCCTGGGGGGCTAGTGCTGAAGAGCCCAACAGGACTCTTAGGGCAAATCATCACATTGATGACCATAGATACTCAATATTTTAAAAGTCGAATCTGATTTCATGACATGATTTCATGTGTATGTCTTCCCCCAGCCTTACTACCCTACCAAGAGAAAAATAAGTCAATTCCTAGTCTAATGATTTCAGTTGCATTAATAAATATTGTTCCCAGTGGATTTAGTGAATTATTTCACTTGTTTTACATGCTTCCCCACCTAAAGTGGAAGCCCACGCATAAGCAAATGCCTTGTAAATAGGTTTTTCTCATCAATGATTGAAGTTCAATCATTGACATATCCATTAAGCAAATGTGCACTTACTTCAAATTGAAATTGCAGTCACAAATTTCATTCACTCTATGAGGTAAATGAATTGAACTCAGAAAAGTATTGCACATCAACACAAATAAATTCGAAATGTTCATTCAGAATTGTTGGTTTGAAAAGCGATGGAATGTGTGTTAAAATAAATTAACCCAATTAAAAATGGAAGAAAGACATGTTGAAAGAGCACACCTGTTTTTCAGTGAAGTCATGGTAATCAGGAAAAGAATCACTGATTTTCACAAAACAAATATTGCCTTAAAAGATAGTAACAATTCCTTTGTGGATGACCACTGGAGAGCTTACACAGAAGATAAGATTGATCCATGCTACATCATTATTGTGCTCTTTGTTATTAATAGAAAATCATGTAAAAGCAAGCCATAGTCAAAAAGCAGCATGAAACCACTTTGTTAAAAGTCTCCATTATAATCTCAATAAAATGTAAGTTCACACTAAGTCACCTTTACGTAAGTCTAGATTCCAAACTGTGTAAAAACCATGTTAAAATGTTGCTGACATATGCCTTAAATAATGAACATTAGAAATTACTTAATAGCAAATACAATCATCATTGCTTGCAATGTGACATTTTTCTCCATGTTGCTATGACACTACTGAAGCAAAAGTCAAATATCTAGGATCGTCAGAATATTAATTCATATTTCAGTATGAATAAAGATTAATCTTCCCAACACACCAGTAACCATAAAATAGCCTGTTTAAAACATTTTCATGACCAGGCAAAGTGGTGCACACCTATAATCCCAGTGGCTCAGGGGGTTGAGGCAAGAGCCGTTCAAGTTCAAGTCCCATCCTGGGAAATTACCAAACTCCTGACTCAAAATAAAAAATGAGAAGTGCTGGGGATGCATCTCAGTAGTAGAATGCCCTGGGCTTAATCTCTACTACAGGAAAAAAAAATTGAGAAAACCACTCAGATCTTGCTAATTTAGGAGATGACTCTTTGTTTCTATGTTTTTATAACATTCACAATGTCTGTTCAAGGTCAGATAAAACTAATTAGATAATACCTGGCCAATATGATGTGAATGCTACTCACCACAAGAAAACATTCTAGTGCATCTAAATGAACCAAGCATCCCTCCATATTGACCCATTTACACACTCCAACTCAACTGTCATTCAAACTGGCCAGAAAGAAACTACCTTCATGCTCTTTGGAAATACAGGACTTTAAGTCTGATATGAGAAAGGAACAAAATGTGCATTTGGAAGGCTCAGATAAGCATATAAAATATATATTTTTAATACTCTGGATATAGGAGCAAAAAATCAGTAAAATATCTTCTGTAGTGGGATCTTCTCTCCTACATTAGTAACTTTTGGTATAAGAATGTGGAGTTAAGTGTCAGATGAGGTTAACTTGCCCTAAGTGTCTATATGTCTATCCATATTATGTCTAGCTAGCTAGAAATCTAAATAAAATGGTACCTGGAGGGAATTCCTTAACCCAGAATAGCAAACCACAATAAAATAAAACTGCAGACATCTTTTGAAGTCAGAATATATACGTTTTATTATGCAATACAACAAAACTGGACATTTACTATATTTACTATCAAATTCTTCATCACTATGAATCCAATAACCATATTTAGCTCAAAAATTTAAAGAGAAAATCAACAGTTTGGGCCCAGGTATATTTTCTAAAAGAATGCTTAATTTTATACTTTAAAATTGAAATGAATGCCTATTTTTTTTTGTACACAATCTATGGGTTATAAAGCTAAACAAATATCTTGGTTTCTGATAAAAAGGCGGCCATCTTTTCTTCTACCACATCACCCATAAAACTGCTGACTGCTCTCACGGAGCAGCCTGGAGCTGGCGAGCCATGCTGAACCCTCCTGCTCCTCCTCCTGGGTCTGCACTGTCCTTCTTTGTCAGCTGCATCATCTGTGTTCTGCTCAGTTCCTGCAGTCTTTGGATAGGGAACAAGGGGATTCCTCTTCTGGTTAGGAAACCCAAACCCTGTCAAGGTCGATAATGAAAGTCAATACTGATTCAGACAGGAACCTGACCGTCTCCGGGAATAGGACTGCCCCAGGCACCGTGCTTCATCAGGCCCCTCTCTGAGACCACATGGGCTGCATGCCAACTGAGGAGAAATGTCAGCACTTGTAAAATATGAGAAAGCTGAGCCCCAGGTAACTGGCTGGGGGTGTTTCTTCCTCAGATGATCACCTGAATCACCAGAGTCCAAGGACAGAGATTGGCAGCCATGTGTGCAATGGTCCCTACCTGCAACTGCCTCCTGTTCAGCTGGTTCCACCCAGACACTCCAAGATGGAAGAAGGGCCGACACAGAGGTAGAAACTTTCATTCCGTGGTAGTGACTAATTGGATAAGGATGAGATAGGATGAAGAACTGAGTTGTTTTCATGTCCACGTAGTTAAAATCCTCTGTGACCTACTTCTCAGATTTTGATAATCCCAACATGTGGGTTCTAATTATGAAAATCTGAATGTAGCTTTTATGTCAATCTTTGGCTGCACAACTTTTCTTATAGTAGGATTTTTTTCTATTAAATACTAAAAATGATAAGAGATTGATGCCAGCCCTCATCACCACCACACATTACCACTGTCAGTCAAAGCCACCAGATCAGGTTTTGCCTGACCTGCTTTAGTTGATAATAATGGCTGTGAATTCAAATCACATTACAGGTTGACTGAGTGCACTTGTCTCTCTGTATTCCACAGTAGCACATCTGATCTGTGAGCAAAGGAAGGTACCAGGTCTGTTACCCAATAAGATATTATGAAAATTATCAAATAATGTGCAAAATCTTTTGATGAATAACACCAAGAGGGTCAAACCCCCAGAGTAGAACATCCCTAATAATTACACCTAATATGTTTCTGATTTTTAATGCTTCATATTAGTAAGTCCTCAGTGACAGTGTGTTATAAATAGATGAACAGATGGCAACCATGTCAAGTTAGGTATAAAAATGATTGAGAGGTGCTGGTGGTGTTGCTCAGTGGTAGAGTGCTTGCCTAGCAATTGTGAGGCCCTAGGTTCGATCCTCAGCCCACATAAAAGTAAATAAATAAATTAAAGGTATTGTGCCCAACTACAACTAAAAAATAAACACTAAAAAATGTCCAAGAACTTGAAAAAAGAGAAACCATGATTGTTTTACAAAAGTGGGATTCTGGGTGAGTTTCTCCTTCTTAAAAATACCATTCTGTATTATTATTGAAGCAGTCATGTTTCAATAATAACCACAATTTCAGTTGGCATTGAATTCAGTTCATCGAAGATTGATGAGTGAGACTGTGCCTGTCCCTTAGAAACACACACAAACATCTAAGCCATGGTCAATGTCCTTGAAAACCACAATGTGCCTTAGAAAGTAGGGCACATGCATGAAATGGAGAAGTTTCAAGCAGATCATGACTTAACACAATGCTCAAATGAGCAAGGTAGAGAAGCGCTGCAAGAAAAAGCCTCGGCTTATGCTTCAGGAAAATCTATAGAGCCCTAAACCCGCGAGAGGGAAGCATTGGCTTTGCCTACTGCAGCAATTAGAAGCCAGAGCTGAAATCAATGCGGCAGCCACTGGAGCAGTCTGCAGCTCTGAGGCTGCAGCTCCTTACAGCCATCGATTTTCCCTGGCCTTGGGGCTTGGTTCACCTCACTCTTTCCACCTCGTCCCCCTGTGGCTCCCAGGCGTCAGGCACAGGTCACTGCTTCCATGAAAATTACCCAAGGATCATTATTAGGCTGTAAATCCACAAAGACCGTGGAAAGGGTCACAAACAGTTTCTAGCAACCACTAACTGTTGCTCCTATGTCACTGCTTTTGCTGACACATAACTCATTCTTTCTTAGAGCATTCAAGAAATGGTTCTTCCTCTTAATCCTGAAGTCCAAAATTCCACATTCAGGCTGGCTCCAAATGACATTTTCCCTTCATCTCTTATCACAGTGTCCTTTCTCTCAAAACTTCCTCCCATAAGTTTAGTCCTATCAGTCTCCTTGGCCTCCTCTGAGTAATCTCCCTATTCTCAGCCCACAGAGTTCTACTCATGCCTTTCCTTCTCCCTCTAAGTCCTTTAAGACCTTGTTCAAGGGCTGCCTACCCAGGCCACCCATCCAAACTAAGTCCCGCTCCTCCCTCCAACAATCTACTCCACCCTCATAGCATAATATTAAATATTTTCTTAGATATGTCTTACCCAATTGATTATGAGTATCCAGAAAGTCACTCACATCTTACCCAAAACAGAGCCTTGCATTGTGTACTAGGCAGCCAGATGGAAATGAGTCAAACTAACGTGGCATTGTGCAAAGAGCAAAGATAACTTATATGAACATGAGAATTATAGCACTAACAGGCACAGTCCATAAGCCAAGGTGCTTATTTGTAGCCATACCTGGAAGGTAGTTCTTCATTTGATTTTGAGAAGATAATAAAGGTTCTTAGTCGAAAAAAAAAACTTTAAAACTACATTCTGAAGCTTCTGGAAGGAAGCTTCTACGAGTATCTTATGTGGTTAATGACAAAAGTTGAAAAACACATTCTGAGGTCACTATCCAATGCTTCAACAAGAGGAAAGCTGGTCTGGACCAGGACATCTGTTTGTTTGCTTCTGTTACTGACCACTTTGGTAATACTTAGGCTTTGCGTCTCAACTCAGGGATGGGCTGCAGAGAGCTGCCGGGCTGCAAATGATTCTCGAGTTTCTGTTTCTCATGCATTATCTGAGCGGTTTTAATAAAAATCTGATTAAAGGATTCTGCCTGGTCTCCACAGGCCAGTGGGCATTCATAGGAGGGAGCACAAAGTGTAATGTGCTTCCCTCCCTCAGAGCTGCGGTGAGAGCAGCAGCCAGCCATGGACTGCCTAGCAGCTTTTGCTGAGGCTGAAGGAGGATTACCAAGCTGTGGCACAGCCGGTGGAGCTCGCAGAAACCACCCAAGACTCTAAAGGACTTGCATGTGTAACTAATTCACTATATGACCTTGTCGTATAGTTTGGATTACACAAAAATGATAACAAAAGCTCAGAGTGGGCAAGCAATTTGCCAAACATAATCTAAGGTTTCATTCAGTTTTTTCAATAGACAAGTTTTTGACAAGTTCTTATGTCCAGGCAGTGTGCTTAATAATAAATCCTGGTGAATTTAGATCTTGAATCCATCTCTCTCACAAATCCAGGATTGTATGCACTGTGTCAAGATGACTTTAAAACCCAAATAATAAAATGCATTGAATTTGATCTCTGAGGTCCTTTTCTACTCTGTATTCAAAGAATATAATGCATTTTTTTCCCTGGGAAAATTGAGGGGAAAAAAGTAGGGAGGGCAAGTTTTGGTCTGAGTTTTTATGTATAAAAAACTGCAGTTTACTTCAATCAAAACTCTAATGAGATTCTGATCCACTTCTGTACCCTCTTAGGAATTTTTGATTCAGCATAACGGGTACCCCTCTGTTCAAGGGCATCTCCCCTTATTCTAATGGGGGGACACATAAGCAATAATCCCAACAGTAAATAAAATATTATTACAGTGTTAGGTACAGAAAAGTGCTAAGTACAGTGAAAGTTCACTGACCATAATCTCTGCAATCAGGACATTTTTTTGGTGGAAGACTAGATCTCAGTTTACACTGATATTAACTGGAAATTGTTCAAACAAGAAGAGAGAAAAGGGCAACAGAGGAGCTGTCAATGAACAAGCAAAAGCGAGGGGATAGAAGGCAACCTAGTGTGTTCAGAAAAACACAGGGACTTCTCTGGTTCTGCAGAGTCCACCAGAAAGATCAAGGCTGACTGCAAAGGAAGCTGGAGAAGGAGGTCTGACTTTCTTTTCAACATATAAAGGAAGGGACTCATTTAAAAATATCTAAAGCAAATCACACAGTGCCCTGCAACAGTTTCAAAATTCAACCATGGTGATTGCATCCTGGGGCTTAGCAGAGGATGCATCACCCCATAGACAATGCAGTCAATGTTTTTACAGAGAAAGAAATGAACACATAAAATGGTTTAGTGTTTTCAGTAACAGGAAGAGAAAATGCATCAGTTCAGTTACTATTGTATCCAGTATGTACACATCTGCGTGTATATCTATATATGTGTGCTACCCACCACCACCACTGTAGTTAGCTGCAGTAGAAGACAGGTGCCACCTTGGTTCTTTGGTAAAATCCATTTCCTGTATTGTCATTCCCAGTCCACATCAACCTAGCCAATCTGACATTAGCCAATCTGACATTATAATCCAAGGATCTAGGGAGAAACACTGTGCTTTTCTAAACAATATATTCCTTTTACCTAAAGAAAACTTGGAAGAACTAACGTCATTGACATTTTACTGAGAATTGACTAATTTTAATTAACTAATTAAAAGTAATATTACTAGAGTATTACTAATTCTTTTTTGGCAAAGAAGGGTATTGCAACAGGCAGGGATATCAAAAAGATGTGGCAAAAGATAGGTAAAAATAGCAGGCGTCCTAAATGCTGCCTTTGCGTTTATCACTAAATTTTGATGTATGTCAAATATTTATCTCCAGGGAGGTCTGGGAAATTCTAAGGCAGAGACCAGACTGAGCAAGATGGATATCCTAAAGCTGAGCCATTTGAGATTTACTTTGTGATGTGACAGTTTGATATATTTTATACCATCATAATGAATTCTCCATTTCCCAATTTAATTGCATGACTACTCGCATTTTGAATTAGAGATGCTTTTCTCCGTCTTAACGAGCAGGGCTGTTCTTCACTGACTGGGAAACTGTAAGAGAAATTAATGCTTCTACTGTTTTGCAAACTCTGCAGAATTTCTCCAGATTTTATGGAGCCCAAAGCTTGCATGGTTTAGAGGATACTTAGGGGCAGGACAGATGGGGAGGCAGAGAGCCACATGTTGTTTTGGACTAAAACAAAAAAAGGATAATGGGAAAAAGGGTTAGAAAAGTGGGAAAAGGTTGAATCAGTCGTGTGTTTGAATGCCAAATCAAGGAGTTTGGGTATTTAGAGGAAGCTCATTAGATAATCATTATATAATAGATTTATGGCTATTTTTATAGACTCATTCCGTTGTAGTTTTGCAGAAATGTGCTCCCTGCTTTGAGTAGGGAACCAGTAAATTATTGGCTCACATTATAAAAGCCTGATGCCAACTTGGTTTTTCTTAATGGTATAGAATTCTTTTGGATCTCTAGATTTAGAAACCATTTTACTTTCTGGAAACTATTTTGCTTTCTATAATTTTATGTCTTTTCATTTATAAAACAAATATGCATACACCCTGGGAAGCAATTGCCAAACATTAATATTTCAATGTGAGCCTACTGTTCTTTTCTTGAACACAAAAGAAAAAA